GCCTTCTTGTCGCCACATAGCCGCCGCCGAGCGCCGTCGCTCGGCCTGAAGTCGCCGTCCCCGACAGCGCCGCGCTGCTCGAGGCCGAAGACGTCCGCGCTCGTGCCGGGCTCGGTGTTGCCGAGGCCGACGAAAGCGCCTCGCTGGCCGACGTCCTCCGGGTTGGAGGAGAGCGAGTCCTTGAACTTGACGTCACCGACGAGGCGCGAGCGCGAGCGGCCGGCGCCCGCCACAGACAGAGACGTCGGGCCGGTAGTCGTTAGAGTAGCCGAGGTGGTCCCGCGGCTCCACCTCGACGAGCATGCCCCACACGCTCCGCATGACCTTGGCCAGGGCGGCGAGGAGGCTGTTATGGCGGCCGCAGTGCCCGAGGCGGCCGATGTTGCTGGCCGCGTCGCCCAGTGGGTCCTGCACCTTGCCGCCGCGCGCCGAGCAGGTCGGCGCGCCCCGCGCGAGCGCCTCGTCAAGTGGTAGCCCGAGGCGCCGCTGGACGGCGATGCGCAGCGCCCACGTCGGGATACGAAAGTCGCGGCGCGAGGGGACGGCGTTGAGGAAGGCGCCCGCCTCATCGCCGCAAGAGGGGGAAACGAGCGCTCGCGATTAGTTGAACGTCGGAACGAGTCGGATCGACGACTCGCCGCCTGCACCAACCAGACAGAGTGTGCGCCTCGCAATTCTATACAGAATCGACACTTGGTACGTCCTCTGAATCGCTCGTGGAGAGGAGCTACGGCCATTCTCCACTTGTGTTTGACGTCGTCAAACACTGTTTGACGTCGTCAAACACGATCGAGTAACCGCCCAGCTGTTCACAGCAACAGCATGGTCTACCCCCGTTCGTCCCACCCCAAGTGCAGCAGCGCAGCCAGGCGGAGCGGACCCACGGCGTGCTCGTGTCGGGCGGCCCCGGCGCCCGCGGCGGAGGCGGCAGCGGCGAGGGGCGCGGCAGCGGGGGGGCGCGCGCGGCGGGCGGCGGGGGCGCGCGCGAGCGAGCGAGCGGAGCACTTGGAGCACTTGGAGTGCAGTCATTAGCCTCACATCCAGGGCCGGGGAGCTAAGAAGCGCACCCAGCGGGCCGGATGATCGGGATCGGGTTGCGGGCAAGAGAGCCCTAGCCCCGCGGGGCGTGCGCGTTCAGGGCCAGGTATGCGCTCATTTTTTCGTGAGGATTGAATCCCTCGGTGTTTCGAGGCGGACACGCTCCTTCCTTCGCACCCGCTTCACACCTCAGTGGTGAGCAGCGCCGCCCCGCCGCCAGCATGCCAGCCGACCACCGCCCTTGCGCACGCGCCCGCCGCCGTCCGCGCACCGTCGGCCCGTGCAGCCACCCGCCTCTCCCTCCCAGCCGTGTGCCTGCTGCACCGCCGACCCAGCAAGACTGCATCCATCGCCCCACTTCCTTTTCCTTGGCCAGCATGCCGCCGGGCTGGCATGTGGGCGCCTAGTGGACGCACTCCGCTGCGTCGAGCATCGTCCGCTCCCGCCGCCTCCCTGCCTCTGCCTCACACGCCCGCCGCTGGTGGTCCGAGAAACCGCTGCGCCGCGCTGTGGCCCTCTCTCCTCTCCCCTCTCTGCCGCGCCGGAGCGGCGGCGCCTGCCCTGTAGGCTCGCCGGCGCGATGTGTCAAGCGCGGCTGCACCAGCGGCGCGTCCCGCACGAGCAGCTCGAGCAGCTCCGCTCGGCGACAGGCTATCTGCTCAAGTCTGCGGGCGGCGCTGTCAAGCAGGCGGCGTCGCCGCCTCTCTCTTCCCCCTCCCCCGGGCCCGGCCTCAGCCCGCCTCAGCCTGCCTCGGTCTGCCTCGGCCGCCCGCCCCTCCG